AGGTGGCAGGAACCAGGTGAGGCAGGCTGTCACCTCCACTCGGGGTCAGATGCATCCTTACCCAGAGCAGGCACCACGAGCTCTGGGAAAACACCCTCTGGGTGTTTTCTGGGTTTCTCTCCCCACCAGGGCTGCCTGCTCCCCAGACTGCTTGAGACGCTGAGCCCAAGCCAGAGGTAGGAGGTCAGGAAGCTGGACTGAGGCCCGGGGAATCCCAGCAGAGACCCTTGCTCCCCCCGCTGTGGGGCCCAAAGCCCTGCTGCAAACTCTCGAGCCAACCCGAGGCCTCCGTGCCTGCAGGGAGGTACGGTCAGCTCACCTCACGGATGAGCAAATGAGCTCAGAGCAGCAAAGGAGTCTTGCCTGAAGCCCTAGACCAGGGATCAGAGTGTTTGTTCTCTTGTCACTGGGACTGGCCCATGCCAGCCTGGTGACTTTCTCCCGCTTTGGAAGGCCAGGAGGATAGCACGTGTTATAGAAGCCTCTGGTGGTCAGCACGCCCAGAGCGGCAGAGGTGGGCAAGCGGCACCTCAGCTGGATTGTGAGGGTTTGGATGGAGACAAGGATCTGCCTAGGAGAGAGCCCTTGAAACATGGCAGCAGCGGTGAGCAACCCGAGGCACTCTGCCTCCAAGGGGAGCTGGCTCAGACGGCTCAGTTACACAGTCACTGAGGCACAGAGGTCAGAGCCGTGAAGTGCAGGAGCCAGGATTCACACCCAACAGTGTGGTCAAAGTCCATGCCTTGACCCCTGCACTGTGCCACCTCTCTGAGTTGACCTGGCAGGTCCACCAGATGCCCAGGCCTCTACCCTCCCCAGCACCACGGCCATCCAGAGCACCCCAGGTGCTCCAAGCTGGCAGCCTTGTCCCTCAACCTCCCTCACCACCCTTCCTCCTGCTTCAGTCTCGGCCACAGAGCCTGGGCCACTAAAACAACCTGGCACCAAGCAGATGCCTCAATAAATCAGGGTCTTGTTCTCTTAAACCAGAAACAATTCCACCCCTGCACAGCCTGGGCCTCTGGCCTCATGCCATCTTGGAGCCAGCCAGCAGCTCACAAATGAGCCCTGCAGCCGGCTGAGGGGCTGATGTTCATTAATAGGAAACCTCAAGGTGGTTAATTGGGATTGATGGCCCCAGGTGCACAGCTGGGAGTTGATGGATGACGCTGTGCCTGCCAGCCTTAGGCAGGGAGAGGGCTCAGTTAATGTGGCCGTGCCAGGCCCCCACCTCGCCCACCCTCCCCAGGGCTGAGTTTCTACAAAGGGCAGGGGGATAGGGGGTCACCTTCGCACATTCAACTTCCCTCCTCCCCTTCCACCAACTCCTTCCTGCCTCTTCTCCCTAAAGACCGTGGAACCGAAAGAGCCCAGCTCTGTTTTGGGCTAGCTCTGTGATCTTGGACAAGTTCCTTAATCTCTCTGTGCCTCAGTTTCTCCATCTTCAAACTCTAAAGCAGATGAGACACACGTTCCAGGGCCAAGCACAAGGCCTGAAACACAGGAGGGGGCTCCACCATGTCCCCTAGGCCCGCTCAGTCTCAACATGTTCCAACCGAGCTCAACACTTCCCCCCAAACCTGACCCCCTTCATCCCCCCTGCCACCCTCAACAGCCCAAGCCAGAAGTCCAGGATGTCATCTGGGACACCCCTCTCCTCCTCCCTAACGTTTAATCGAGTCCCAACAATTGTATTTCCCAAATGGTTGTCCCGTCTGTCCACATCTCCCCACCCACTGTCAACGTCTTAGACATTTTCATCTCTCTGGAGTCTCACGCCATCCGCCTGCCTGCTCTCCCAGCCCCGGCCTCACTCTGCTCTCCCTCCCCAGGGGAGCCTGCCTTGCAGACAGGAAGAGCTCCCTAAAGAGGACATCTGGTCAGGTCACCTTTTTGTTTGAAACCTTTCAGTGGCTCCCCATTGCCCTCAGGTCGAAGCACAGCCTCAGTTTCAGACAAGACTTACAGAATCCTTTGCAACTGCCTCCCACCTCTCCCACCTCACTTCCTGCTGGGGCTCCTGTGTCCCCTGTCCCAGGTGCACCATGCTGTGCCTTTCTGCAGGTGGCCTGTGTACACGTTCTCCCATCTCTCCCGTCCCCATCTGCCCTGATTAACTCCCACTTCAGGACTTGGCTCGGACGCCAGCTCCCCCAGGAAGTCTTCTCTGCCTCCCCAAGCTGGGTTGGGGCCTTCCTCTGGGCTGCCACAGTCCCCTGTGCTGCTGTCTGTCTTTCCTGCAGGAGAACCCTGTATCTAGGAGGTGCTCAGACATGAATGCTGCAGGCTCGTCCCTAAGAGCTTTGCACAAATAGGAGGGTGAGAGGGCTGCAGAATTCAAACACCCCTCCAACGGAGAGGGGCTCCTTCCCGGGACCCCGAGGCTGCCCCAAGCCCAGCCTGAGACCTTGCAGGGGGCTCAGGTTGAGTGGGTTCTCCTGGGTCCCGTGGCAGTGACCAGGGCTCATTCAGCCTCTACTCCAGCGCCTGTTGCCTGCCTCTGGCCCTACAGGCCTCACAGCTCTCCTGTAACCAAAGTATCACGGCCATGTGCCCTTGCAGGCATTTCATTAGCCCCTGCCGCAGACCCAGGGGGCTCGGGAGCCAAGCTCAAGCCCAGCAGCAGGCGATCAATCCTCCTGCCAAATCCACAGCGAGAATAATTCCCCAGCCCTAGGCCAGGCCCTTGGCGGTGGCTTTCATGGCCAAGGGCTCACAGAGCAGCCTCTGGATTGGGCTCCTCATTGCCGGCCTGGCATCTCCAACACAGCAACCCTGGGGGCTTTGTGACTACACAGCTGCTGGGGCCCCTCCACTTCTGAAAACCTCCAGTGGCACCCCCGCCAGCCTGAAGGCTGACATTCCTGCTCTCCAGCTGGCCCAGGGGCGCAGGTCTCACTGCAGGCGCCCTCCTGGCCTCCCCAGACCCACCCCCCGACCCCACTTCGGCCGCACGAGACCACTGACTGCCCCCTCCCGTACCCTGCCTTGGCACAGGTGGATGTTCCACCTGGCAAGCTCCTCCTACCTTTTTCTAGGAAAATGCATATTAAATGTCACTTCCTCTGGGCTTCCCGCTTGGATTGCCCAGGAAAGCAGGAGTTCCCCCTCAGGGCCCTTTCAGAACTGTGCGTTTTCTCTGTCAGGGCCCCGTCACACGCTGCTGTCCTTTCGTCTGTTGGTAGTTGGCTCTCCAGCTGGAATGAGCACTCCTGGAAGGCAGGGCCCAGGTCAGAATCATGCCGTCTCTGTCTTCCCCTCAAGGCCTAACTTAGGGCAGGTACTCCAATGTTTGGGGATAGAGGAAAGAAGGAAGGAAGGGTCATGTCATTCCTTCGCTGGCTGTGGAACCAAATACCTGCTGTGCCAGGCTGCACGTTCCTCCATTAGCTGGGGCCCTTGGGCTTCTTTATCTGGCTCCCATGGGCCAGAGAGACCTGCTTCAGAAGCAGGAGGCCTCAGAGGCCAGCCAGGGGCCTGGACTGTATAACTGTCCCTCTGCCAGTTGAGCAGAGACCCAGACCACTGTGGAGGGCTTCCACCAACCAAGCCCCTGCCCCAGGCCCGGGTTTCAAGCAGGTTCAAACTCTGGCTCTGCCACTCCCTGGCTGGGTGGTCTTGTCTCCTGCCTGTCCTAGAAGGCTATTCCCAGTCAGTCATCTGTCCGTGTCCACAGAGGTGACTGTGGAGGACAGCAACCCGGCTGGGTGGCTGGACTGACCACAGCAGGAGTCACCCGTGGAGATTCTGTTCCTTACCTCTCCTTTGCAGGCACTCAGCTCACCATCGCCGCGTAGCGAACCATGTCAGCTCCTCGGAGATGTTTCCCTGATGCTGCCTGGGCTGCCGGGAGAGCTAGCCCTCAGGCCGGGAGGATCCCAGCCCTCGCAAATTTCCCGCTCAGCTCTGGTCAAGCTACCTCACCTCCTGGAGCCTCAGTTTTTGCTTCTGCAAATGAAGGTAACATCGCTTGCTTGCCAGGGTTGGTGCGAGGCACAGATGATCCAGCGGCGGTGTGAGTGCTGGCCCCAGGAAGACAGAGGCCACGCTGGATGCTGTGGAAGGGGCACCCTCACACCTCCTGCCCTGCAAGCCACACTCCCACTCCTGCAGCCTGAGTCAGCTGTGCGACCTTGGCAGAGATGTGGGGAAAAGAGCATTGGACCAGGTGTCAGGCCCTCGTGCTGGGCCCTTGAAGCAGTCACTCCCCCAGCTGGGTCTCAGCCTTCCCCTGTAAAGGGTGACTGCCACTCTGACTCCGAGGTCTGTGGCAGGTGGCAGGCAGTGACAAGGACTCAGCACCTGCCTAATGTCAGGGAGGGGGTCTTCCCTGGGTGCCCAGCAGCCAGGAGGTGTGCTGGGGAGACACGGAGGCTGAGAGGTCTCAGGCCTTGGCCAGAGCGAATAAACATTGGCGTGTGGTGAGGGAGGGAGGGAAGTGGGTAGGTCTGCAGCCATGGAGACTGATATCTTGGTTAACCAGGAGGTTTCCACAGCCACAGACTACCCAGCTGTAGGCAGGGACAGGGAGGGAGGGGCCACAAGGCAGCAGCTGCTGCTGGGGGCCAGCTGGGGCCTGAGTGTGGCTCATTTTCTCTCCTGACCCAGGAATGCCAAAAGGCTGAAGGAACAGTGCAAGAGTTTTGGGCCAGGCAATGGACCCAGGACCCACTGGCCTGAGCACCTGCACAGAACTCCGCGAGGGAGGGGACTGGAAGCCCTCTGAGGCTTCCCGGGCATCCAGGCGAGCGTAGGGAGCTGCAGGTTTGGGGAAGAGGGCTGATGCAGAATCAGGAAGAACCAAGAGAAACCTTGAAAACCATGGAAACTGAGAGCAGAGGCCCCGGAGGTGGGGAAGGAGGTTCCACTGAGTAGAAGACAGACAGGCAGCAGTGGGTTTGAATCCAAACTCTGCCAAATACTAGCCATGTGGCCTTGGGCAAACCACTAAACCTCTCTGATTCTTGATTTCCACATCTATAAAATAAACTAATTCTATCTTGCAACACTGTTTCGATAATTAAACTGAGGAACGTAGCCCTGGACAAGATACATAGTAAGTACTTAATAAATATGTGCTATATTAGCTGCTAGTGTTCAATGACCCAGGACGGGGCCTGGAAAGGAGAAGAGGCTCGGTGAAGGGTGGTGGAGGAAGGCAGGGCCTGGCAGGTGCTGCCAAGTTGCAGAGATGGGCAGAGGGACTGCCCTCCTGCCACACCGACTGTGGACACAGTCTGGGGCTGCCGAGCTAGGAGGCTCCGCTTGGCTGCGTTGACCCATTTTCACGGCCCAGGGGTGTCCAATGGGCTGGAGCCTCAGCTCAGGCCCTGCTCCTCAGAGGGCTCCTGGCGTTGGCCCCGTCCCTAGCCCCCATCCCTCGTAGCGTCCTGCCCTGGGGGAAGAGGAAAGACAGACGGACACCCAGCAGAGGGGAGGCGGACAAGGTTTATTCCGGTCCTCGGGCAGACAGGGCTCGTCCAGCCTCTCCGCCGCGGGCAGGCTCCCCCGCGGGCTGCCCGTCCCAGCCGCCGCCCGCCGGCAGCCTCCCGCGAGGCCAGGCGTCCCCGGGGCAGCCGGCAGGGCCCGAGGACGCCGGGCCGATGCGACGGAGGGCGCGGCGCGCGCCCGGTGGGCAGCGGGCGCGGTGGCGGCGGCGGCGGCCGCAGGGCCACAGGCGGCGGAAGCGCGCGCGGAAGTGGCGCGAGGCGAGCGCGTAGACGAGCGGGTTGAGGCAGGAGTTGGCGTAGGCGAGGCAGTGCGAGGCCAGGCGGCAGGCGTAGGTGGCCGGGCTGAAGGCGAAGCGGCCGTACCAGAAGCACAGGATGAGCGCGTGGTGCGGGCCCCAGCAGAGGGCGTAGAGCGCGGCCACCGCCAGCATGGCGCGCCCCGCGCGGCCCGTGGCTCTGCGCCGGGCCTCGGCCGCCGCCGCGCCCGCGGGGCCCACGGCCGCCCAGAGGAAGCGCAGCGTGCGCCCGTAGGCCAGGCTCACCACGGCCACAGGCAGCAGGTAGCCGGCGGCGAAGGTGGCCACGTCGAGGGCGCGGCGGCGCGCGTCCTCCCAGGCGGGCACGCAGAGCTCGAGCGCGCCGTAGCGCACCGTGCCGTAGTAGCTGAGGTAGGGCGCCGAGCAGAGCGCCGCCAGCAGCCAGACGAGGCCCACGGCGGCGCGGGCGTTGCGCGGGGTGCGCAGGGCCCGCGAGCGCAGCGGGTGCCGCACGGCCAGGTACCTGCGGGCGAGCGGGCGGGCGCGGGGTCAGCGCGGCGGCGGGCGGGCCCGCATCCGCGCCCCCATGCTCACGCTGCCCGGGGGAGCGGGGGCCCGGCGGCCTGGATTTCCGCGTCTGCACGGTACGGGCGATCGCGCGCCCGGCCTCACAGGCTGGGTGGGAACATGGAGGCAGTTAACACACAGCGCTTAGAGCCGCGCTTGGCACCTAGCAAGGCTGGGTCGGAGGCTCAGAGAGAAGTGACTTGCTCAAGGTCATCAGCTAGAGCGTGAGCCTGGATTTGACCCCAAGTTTCAAGCTGTGAAAGCAGCTATGAGCACAATCTGGGCCAGATGTGGGCGGTAATAAAATACCCGATGAATTAATTGTGTTCCTTTTGCCATTCATTTCACTTACAGGGCACCTACTATGTGCCAGGCTCTTTGCTGACACGCAAGACAGAGAGATGTCCTGGGGAAGCTGACACTGGAGTTGCGGGGAGGGCAGGATGGTCCCCTCAAGCATGCCCTGCAGGTGCCCAGACACTGGTTGGTGGGGACCAGACAGCTGATCCTTCCCTCCCTCCCATCTCCCTTCTTGGTCCTTCATTCTCTCCTTCCTGTGGCCAATGGGAATCTGCTCAGATCTTCCCTCCCCAGCCAGACCCAGCCAGGCCCAGCCAGGCCCCGCCAAGCCCCGCACAGCACACCTGTCCACTGAGACGGCGGCCAGCGTGAAGCTGCTGGCGTACATGGTGAGGTAGATGAGCAGGTGCACGGCCTTACACACGAGGGCTCCAAAGAGCCAGGCGTCCAGTGTGTAGATGGCAGCCTGGAAAGGCACGCAGCACAGGATGAAGCAGAGGTCGGCCACCGCCAGGTTGAGGATGAATAGATCCGTAGTGCTGCCCGGCTCCTGCCAGGCACTCGGGCCGGGCTGCAGCAGCACCGCTAGCACCAGCCCGTTGCCCACTGTGCCCAGGAGGAAGATGAAGGCAAAGACCACAGGCACTGCCACAGCCCCCACACTCCCTGGGCTGTCCAGCGAAATGTTCTGGGCATCAGCCATCTCCCCATCAGATGGGCACCTGGGGAAGAGAAGCTGGAGTCCTCAGGCAGGAGCCCCCAGCTCTGGTCACTCGACCCAGGGGTCTAGCTCCCCAAGCCTGGGCCCCGCCAGGTCTCCTGGGCTGGAAGTTCATGGGGGATGGGGGTGGGAGTGGGGGAACAGAGCAGAAAGTCATTACTGAGCCCCACTGTGCAAGCTGCTAGCACAATCACATTGGTTTTGGGGGTGGGTTTCTCAGTTTCCTAGGGAACACCCCCCACAGCCCAGGGCGCGCAGGGCTGATTAGGTAGTTGACAGATACCGCCAGGCAATGATGCATGTAAGACACAGGCAGAACAAGCTGAGGACACGGCGGATGGAGGAGGGGCAGCTCCAATCCCAGGAGCTGGTATATTTTCCGAGTGGGATCTGAAGCTCAAGGAAGACTCTCGGACATGGGTCATGGACTTCCATCTGGCTATAAGTTGTAGCCTCAGGTGACACCCTTGAGTCATTGGAGAGTCCAGTCTACTGAAAGCCCCACAGTGGCACAGCTGGGAAGACCATGTAGGTCACTGCCCCTTTTTTGCACACAAGGAAATCGAGGCTCAGAGAGGGGACGTGGGAGGCTAATACCACACTCTCGCAGATCTAGGTCTAATGCCACCCTGGTACCCTGATTCCCAGGCTGGAGCGCTCATCTGAGAGCCTGTAACAGGTGGTGCCTCTGAGAACCTGCATGTGTGTGCGTGCATTTGTGCAAGCTGTGCCCACTCTCACTCCTGCCCCACCCCAGAGCCCACATCGGCTACTACCTGTGGATCCCCCCGCATGCCCAGGACCTCTGGGGTGGTGGGACAAATTCAAGGCAAGGGGGACCAAGCAGGGAGGAGGGAAGGAAGGTGCTGTCTGCCCCCCCGCCCCCAGCACCCAGCATGCAGCAGACCCCCGAAACCCAGGATGGGCAACACCCACCTCAACCCTGGGCACTGGGCCCCTGCTCGATCCTGGGTGACCCGGCCAGGCTGAGGCTGCCTCCTGGCTCAGTGGCTGTCCCTTGGAGCCTCCCTGCAGGTACAGGTCTGCCTCCTACTTCTCCCTCTTCTCCTTTAAGGTCCCTTCTCTGCTGAGCCGGACTTGGGCACTCCCTCCCCAGGAGCCTCTGGACACCTCCCCGTCAGTCCCTAATTTCCCCCAGGAGGCATGCTCTTCTGCCTGGCTCTTCTCGGCCTCTCTGCGTTGCTTCTCTCTCTTTCTGCAGTGAGTAACCCATTGATCTCGCTCGCTGAGCTTCGCTTTGTAGTTAACCCCTCCGTACCCAGGGCTCAGCCCGTTCCTGGCGCTGCCTCCTGTGGCCCCGCCTGATGACTCCGCCCCCCATCCTCTCCCCTCCCTGCTTGAAGCAGGGCTCCCATCTAAGCTCAGAAAGGATTCCTAGTCTTGAGCAGGGTGTCCTAGGCTAGGAAACCAGAATGAGTCCCTTTTCTACAGACTTCAGAGGAGACTCCTCCTCTGGGGCCTGAGAATCCGGAGGCCCATCAGCTTCCCTGTTTGTTCCAGGAGTCCAGTCTGGCTGGAGAATAGAGGGTTTACGTGCCATCCAGAGTCTGGCTTTAGCCAGAGCGCAATGGGGAGCTAGTGAAAGTTCTTGAGGAGAGACATGACCTTTCCATTTATTTTGTAAGAAGTTTATTATGGCCTGGGGTGAAAAAGCGTGGGGGGGTGGTTTAACGAGTGACCTGTTAGGAGCCTCTTGTCCAGGTAACAACCAAAGAGGTTACCAGTTCTTGGTGAATGGCTGTGTGACTCAGTTATGCAGTTCTTGGAGGAGTGAGCCACATGGCCAATTGCTTCCAGAGGGTTAGAGAGGTCAGCATGGGGTTGGGGGGAGTGGGGGAGGAAGGTACATTAGATTTAGCAAAAAGGAGGTTGTTGGTAAACTGGACAAGTGTAGTGGGGCAGAAGGCCGTCTGCAATGAGTTAAAGGAGAGACGAGGCGGGAAGGACTCTTTCCACTCTTTTTGTGTGGAGTCTTTCTAGAAGCCAGGAGAGTGGGGGAATGTAAAGGGGAGTCTGTGAGAAGGGAGAGAAAATAGCCTGGGGGAACGTGAGGAAGCCAGGAGAACTTCCCAACTAGCTCCTCAAAGGCCCCGGCATTTCCCCCAGCGCTCAGAGGGGCTTCTCCAGATCTGACCCGCTCATCCCAGACACAGAGCGTCCCGCAATTCTTGGCAGCAGAAGACTCACTGAATTGCAGATATTAGGAATCACACCAGACTCTGCTAAGGCAAACTAGAGCTAACAGAACGGAATTAAGGAAGCAGAGTTGTAGACCAAAGGGCAGAACCGTAGGATTCCACGCTCAGTGTGCCAGGATTTCAGAATCACTGAGTGAGAGGCCCACAACCGTGTTGTGCGAAAGTAATGCACTAGACTCCCAGAAGCCTGGAGACACGAATGTGGCACGCCTGGACCCTGAAGCCCCTGAGATCCCTGACACTGTCCTCCCTCCCCCTGGGAGTCCCCAGCCCCCAAGGACCCTCCCCATCAGGGCTGGGCTCTGGATGGGCTGTGGCAGGACCGGCAAGGAGCTCCCAGGAGCCGCAAGGCTGAACGGCTGACATGATGGCAGAGATGGAGGGAAGGTCGGAGCTCTGCTGAAGGGCAGGCATGACCCCTGGTGCCACCTCTCCCTCTTGCTCCAACTGCTGCTCCTGGCGGCCTTGAACCTGGCGCCTGATGCAGAGGACGTGGACAGTGTGTCCTGGGAGCGTCCCCGGAACCCCGGGCCCCACAGGATGCAGAAGTGCAGCTGATCCACAGTCGGCCCTCGGGCCCTGCGCAGCCCTCCAGCCCGTCGCAGGCGTCCGGCGACTACCATAGGCGCCCAGGCCGAAGGACATGGGCCCAGGCCGAAGCACTGCTGCGCCTGCTGGCGCCTTCTATGACCCCTTCTGGATGGCGGCAGACTGGGCCGGCGCAGCTCCGCACACTGAGCGGCGAGCTGGCCCAGGGCCCGCAGCAAGCTGGTCTGGGATGTCGCTGCGCTGCTGCTGCCCACGCTGTGCCCAGGGGAGCGCAGCGCCAACCAACGGCGTCCCCTGGGAGCTGCAGGAGGCGGCGGCGCACACTCTCAGCCGCTGGCTGGTGGACCTGGGTCTTGTGGCCTGGCCCCGCTGGGTACGCCGCACAGGCTGCCTCGCGTCACTCTGCGGCTGCTCGTCACCGCCCAGTGTGACCTGCTGGCCTGCGCAGACCACACACATCAAGCTGCTGGTTGGGTCTGGAGCTGCCGCCAGGCCTTGTGCACTCCCTGCTGCAGCAGTGTGCCAGGTGCCGTACCCCGTGGTGGCGGCATGCAAGTGCTCATGCGGCTCATGTGGCCACAGCAGCCCCCTTCCCCAAGCCGCATCCCCCAGCTCCTGGACCCCAACCTCAAGCTCCTCTGGATCACAGGCTAGGATTCCCAGAACCACAGAGTTAAGATCCTGCAGGACTGGGCCAGAGCTGGCCCAGATCGTCCACCCCTAGACGTCCAGGCTAAGGGGAGGGCTGGGGGTGTGGGGCGCCAGGGACACTGTCCTAGTTCCCCGTTGTTAATGAAGAAGGGCCTTTTCATCCTCCCTGCACTACCTCCAGCAAATTACAAGCTTCCCAAGGCCACACCACTTAAGAGGCTTTAGCAGCGGTGACTCAGAACCCATGCCCCACCCCCACCAGGTGCCCATCAGGCTGCGCGGGGAGGGCAGGGGAGAGAGGAAGACCAGGAGCAGCGACTGTGGGAGGGGCGTTGGCATCTCCAGGAGGGGAGTAGCGAGCCGTTGTGGGAAGCAAGGGTGGATGGGGCCTTGACAGCAGCAAGTGGGCCCTCCCGGCCTTGTCCGCGGGGCCGAGTCCAAAGCCTGGGGTCTGGAGAGGGCGGGGCGAACCCGCGGCGGAGCGGCGGGAGCCTGAGCTCGCTGCGCCCCCTGGCGGCTGGCCATCAGGCTAGCGGGCCTTGGGATGAGCCAGACGGAAAAGCCCGCGATGATAATGTAACATCCATTCTTGGTACAGGGGAAGGAAACTGAGGCACACAGAGGGGATGGGGCCTGCCTGAGGCCATAGAGTCAGGGACAAAATGGGCCAGAATACCGGCTCCAGACTGTCAGGGGCCTCTCCAGCAGTGACCCACACTCTTTCCCTTGCGGCCTGACTCCTCCGTCTCTCCAAACATGGGTTTGGGCACCCAGCCTCCTCTTATCTGGGCAGCTGTAGGCCGGCCTTTGGACAGGGAGCAGAGGACAGGTGTTCACCAAGGCCAGACTCAAGGGGCTGTAGAGTAGGGTGGGGGTGGTGTGAGGAAGGGCCTGCAGAGCTGGTGCTCAGCTGCCCTCCACAGCGGCACAGAATCCAGCTGAACCCAATGATGGCCCCTGCCCATACTACCCCAGCTGCCTGGGTCCCCTCTTAATCTGGGGGAGGTGGTCAGCTCTGAGATCCACCATAGTCCTCAGGAGCCTGCCCTGAGCCCCAACTCCTGCCTGATTCCTCAACCAGTCACAGGACGGGGCCTGTCCGGGGGGAAGAAAGCAGACCAACACGTCACAGCCAGTTTCCACACTGTTGCCTCACACACAGCCACGAGCACAGGCCTGGCCCCAGCTTGAGTGCAGGACTTTGACAGGGCTCAGAGCCTCTGGCCTGCGCTGATGAAAGGCCCTCTTTGTCACTGTGGAGGGACGGGGCCCTTGGCTCTGCTTGTCAGTGCCCAGGGCTCAGGGCAGTGCCCCGTGCAGCCGCCCCACCTCCACGAAGGCCTCCACGCAGCGGTCGATGTCCTCCTCGCTGTGCACCGCTGAGATCTGTACCCGGATCCGGGCCTTGCCCTTGGGGACCACAGGGTAGCTGAACCCGATGACAAAGATGCCTGGGAGGGTAGAGAGGGCCAACCTGGGACTCACCAGAGCCAGACAGGCTTTGGGGGTGTGACATACAGCTTCTTTCCTGAAGACCACAGGAGGCAAGGGAGCTGCCCAAGGTCTCTCAGACTCGGGACTGCCCGTGGCCTGGGGTTTTCAAGCTTAGACAGACAGCTGGACTAAGAGGGGCAGTAGGGTCGGGGTCAGGGGCAGTATGCATAGTCTAGGGGTTCCCCTCTTTTCTCCCAGGACCCACAGCTGGTCCTCTTCTCCTGGGCCCCTCACCTCTCTTCAGCATGTCATCTGCCATGCAAGAGGCCAGCCGTGCGTCACCCAGCATCACAGGGCAGATGGGGTGATGGGCTCCCGAGATGGCGAAGCCAGCAGCCTCCATCTTACTGCGGAACCTGTGGGAACAAGCCAGGTGTCAGAGGCACCTGGGGGGCTGTGGAGAATTCACACCTACTCTTGATGGACATGTGAACCAAGATGTGTGCCCAAGTCTGCAGGAAGGACCGACAACGACAGAGATGCAGAGCCAGAGAGGCAGACGGGGAGCCAGGCAGACCAAAAAGGGAGACAGGAAGACAGGACTGCGCATGCGGAGGAGACACAGGGTCAATCGCAGAGAAATGCACCAGGAAGTGGAAAGAGGAGGTAGTGACAGAGAGAAGAGGGAGGTGGGCAAGCAGGCAGCCCTTGGAGGAGAGAGCTGAGTCCCAGTGCAGCCTGCTGGGGACGTGGTGTGGGCAGAAGCAGAACCTGAAGGCATTGAGCTATGGGCCTGGGCAGGCACACAGGGCAGGCCCTCACATCTCCCCCACTCCAGCCTGCCCCACCCCTGCCAGGGACCGCACCGCTGGGTCTTTGCTGCCATAGACTGCACAATGGCATTGCTCTCCATGAGCAGGTCCAGGGCCTTGGAGGCACAGCCAATGACGGCAGGTGGCAGGCTGTTGGAGAAGAGGTAGGGCCGGGCACGCTGCCGTAGCAGGGACACCAGGGGCCCAGGTCCTGTCGTGTAGCCCCCTGGGAACAAGGTCAGAGGTGGAGGTGGGGGTGAGGGTGGTGGTCAGAGGCCAGGAGCCTGAGCCTGCCCCCAGCCCCTCCTGAGAGTACAGTCCATGCCGCCCTCTCTCCACAGCCCCACGTCTCCCCTCCCCACCTTCCGAGACCCCTCCAGGGCCCTGCACGTGGATAAGGGATCCCAGGGATACAGCCCTGCAGGCACCTGATGCTCCGCCCAGTGCCTTCCCCAGCGTGGAGTTGATGATGGTGACCTGGTCCATCACACCCAGCAGCTCATCCGTGCCCCTGCAAGAGAAGCTGCCACTGCCACCACTGCGTGCCTGACTGCCCAGGGATCATGGGCTGGGCTGGGGGCTCCCACTTTCCCACCCACCCTTAGAAGCCCAACCCAAGGCCTAAGGTGTCAGGTGCTCCCACCGTCCAGTGGCCCCCAGGAAGCCAGTGGCATGGCATTCGTCCACGAAGACTAGGGCACCATATCGAGAGGCGAGGCGGCAGATCTCCTGCAGGGGTGCGATGTCCCCGTCCATGGAAAAGGCCCCATCAGTGGCCACTAGGCGCAGCCGATGCTTCTGTAGCGAAGACACGGAGAGGTGGTGGGGGTGTTATGAGTTGGGTCAAACCACCCGCCCTCTGTGCTGCTTGGGGCTCCAGGAGCTCACCTTGCCCAGCGCCCAGCACCGAGTCGGGCACATAGGCCCCACCGTGTCGGGGCTACAACACTCTCCCTTTACCCATCTCTTCCAGGGGGGTCTGGAGCCACACTCAGCCCTGGACCATGAGAAAGCCCTCAGTCTCCTCTCCCAGAGGGCGGGGTGAGGCCGGGCCAGTTCTAGCCATAGATCATCTTACTCTGTGCCTAGCAGGGGCCTGCCACACGTACAGTGCTTGCTAACGCTCAAGGCAGCATGGTGCAACGGAATGAAACTTTGGTCTGAGGGATCTGGGTTCAAATCTTGGCTGTTTCAAATTTTCAGGCTGTTTGTGAGTGAGGAGTTGGCCTCCCCGAGCCTCATTTCCTTCGCCGGGGGCAGGGCTGTGGGTTAGCCCAGGCCTTGCCCCTGGAACCCAAGCCTTGCCCCACCTGGGCCTCCTGCAGCTTGGCCTCCAGATCGGCCATGTCCAGGTGGCGGTAGCGGTACTTGTGGGCCTTGCACAGGCGGATGCCATCGATGATGGAGGCATGGTTCAGTTCGTCCGACAGGACCGCATCCTCCGGGGTCAGGAGGGCCTGGAGGAAGGCAGTGGGAGTGGAGCCATCCCCCATCCCCCTTGGGGTTGTCTCTCCCCCATGAATCCCCACAAGTCCAAATTTCCCTGCCAGCCAGGGGGTTCCTCTGGGCAGGGAGGGAAGGAACCCTCTGCCTCTCTCTGGGTCCCCAGAGCCCCAGGACCGGGCTGGACAAGTGTCCTGCTCTAGTGAGAGCTGATGAGGACACATCTGGTGAGTGCTTGGCCCCTGCCACCCCAAGCCTTCCAGGTGACGTAGGTTACCCCTCAAACGCCCAGGCAGCTGGCCTCCTTGCAAGCCCCAGGATGCCTCCTGGAGCACCTGCCTGGCCCAACCTTGACCTCCATAAGAAATGGGCACCGGAGCCTCTGAGCACAGTGCTGGTGTCCCGCCAGTTCTCCTAAGCGCCCACTCCCGAGGCTTCCACAGCCCAGCTGGCCTCACCAGCCCACCCCCGGCCCCCACACACCTCAAAGAGGCCAGCGTTCGCATCAAAACAGCTGGGATAGAGGATGGCGTCCTCCCGCTGATGGAATTGGGCTATCTTTGCTTCTAGATCCTTGTGGATGCTCTGAAGAAAGCAAGTGAAACAGGTGTTAATATCTGCAGGGCCGCATGGGACACGTCCTGGGGACAGAGGCTAGAGGGCCAGAAACAGACCCAGCCCAGAAAGCCAGCAGCCTTGGCCTCACTCTTCCTTCACCATAACGGTTCCCCCAGAGCCAACAGGCCTCTGGCAGATGGTTCTCAGTGAGCAATCAGGGGCTTGCTAGGTGTCCCTTCCTGCTTGTGTCTTCGTTTTGTAATGGGGGTCTGAGGGTGGACTTACGGGCTGACGGTGAAGATGTGCCTTTCTGATAACAAATTGATGCCTTTTTTGGTTGCTTAATGGCAAAGAAGAGGATTACATTAGTAACTCCAGGTTCATTTGGGCCTCAAATGCTTAGATTTGAAAGTTGTCCAATCTGGGTGAGGGTTTGGTTGGAAAGGGCTCTGAGTGCGAGTTAGGAGTACCACCCCTGACATTCATTCACTTTTCTGAGAGGACAGGTAATAATCATCACAAGGAGTCAGGAGCACAGGCTACCTGCATTCACATCCCACTGTGACAGGCTGTGTGCCTTTGGGCAAGTCACTTAACTTTTCTGGGCCTCAGTGTCCTCATCTCTATAACAGAGACAAGAATAGCACCTATCACTTAGGATTGTTACCAGGACTAATGAGTTAATATTTGTAATGTTCTTAAAATAGTACCTGGGACATAGTAAGCACGGTAAGTTTCATGTTTATATAAGTTTATTTTATAACATTTATAAAATAAAATAATAACATTTATCAAGCACTGCTACGTGACGGGCGCCGTTCTCAGCATTTCTATGTGTGCTAATTCTTCAATTTGGAGCCATCTTACTAAGGACTGTCATTCTCACTTTACCAACGAAGACACTGAGGCACGGAGAGTTTAAGACACTCGCCTTTGGTAACAGAAACAATAAACGGTGGTGCAGGGAACTGAGCTCAGGCAGAACAGCCCCAGAACCCTCCATCTCAATCCCTGCCTTCTATTCTTCCTTTCCCAAAGGGGAACAGGTGTGAGGAGCTCTGTTCTGCACGTGGGGAAATGGATGCTCAGAGAGGTTAAGTTTTTTGTCCAAGGCTTCACAGCAAAACAGAAGCCTGAACCCAGCCTTTCTAGAGGACAGCTCTGGGCCCTGGGTCGAGCTGAGCTGGCTAAACCAGCCCTGCTGACTGTGAGAAGCAGACAGCTGGGGTCAGCGCCCAATGCTGGGGACAACCTTTCAACCCGCACAACCCCCACTGTGTACCTGGGTCCCACAGATGAAGCGGACAGAGCTAAGGCCAGCTCCAAACTCCTCCAGGGCCTGCAGGCCTGCCTGGATCACCTCGGGGTGGCTGCTGAGCCCCAGGTAGTTGTTGGCACAGAAGTTAAGGATTCCTGAGATGGAGGAGAGGGGACAGACACAGCAGCTCAGGGCAAAGAAGGGCCTGGAAAGTGTCAGTGCCAGGCCCTGGGGACTCAGAGAGGAGATGAACCTGGATTCACCCTTGGGGAGGAGACAACCACACAGTGTGATCACCCTAGGGGGCATGGAATCCGCCACTACAAGAGACGGAGGGTCAGGAAGGGACTGAGTGGCGCCTTGAAGGAGAGGAGGTTTACATTCTGGCTTTCAATCACATCCCACCCCCGGAGGAACTCAGCCCTGCCTCACAGGCTTCTCCCGTCCCTGAAGACCACCAGCAACCCCTCGTCTGGGCCTTGGTTTCCCCCTGGGTAAAAGAAGAGCGCCGGGTCAGATGCCCACCGTGGTCCTCAAACTCCACACAGTTGACCTTGCCAACTGGTACAGAATCGAATGCCCAAAGGGGGTGCCTGACACCCCAACCACCGACTTATAAAGCTCCAAGTGAACACACCTGACCTGAGGAGGAAACTGAGGCCCGAAGAGGGCAAGGTTCACTCAGCCTGGGAGAGGCAAAAACAGGACGAGAAGCTGGGTTCCTAATTTCCCTGCTCCAAGTTTCCCCTGGAGGAAGGCAGGGATGTCCCGGGACCTCCATTTTACAAATGCCTACAACAGCACCAAGGACTCCAGGCATGTGTCCTGGGCAGAAGGCAGGAGCGGGGGCCTGTTTATAACCAGCACCCACCTGGGCCTGGCACAGACGAGACAGGCAGTGACCACCGGTTAGACTGAAACGAGGGAGGCCTGGCGGCCAATTCATGGGGTTCTGCAGCAGCCCTTGCACCCCTTGCTCACTGCGACTCTGGCGGGGAAGCTGGCCTCTCTGGCCAGTTAGCTGACCTTCCAGCTCCAACATACCAGAGAGCCTCAGCCAAAGTCCAGCTCTGCCTGCAGCTGCCTGAGGCCTTTGGGCAAACCACTCCACTCACATCTCTGAGCTGCAGCTCTCTGCCCGGGAAGTGGGATTAGCCAGCCCTACTTTGGAGGTCTGCACCAGGCCCCTGCAGCAGCGAGTAGAGGCCTGCACACAGCAGCAGCTCCAGAAACGCAGGGCTCCTTGCTGCTGCCTCTCCCACCCCTCATTGAAGTGCCATGATGGGAGCCAGCAGGTGTCTCTCTTTCTTTCTCACGTCTCACAGGCCTGGGTCTCAGTCCAGTCCTGCCCTCTGAGCCAAAAATGTGGTCAAGGGCAAATCACCTCCCTCGCTGGAAACGGGTTTAACCAGGTTAGAGTTAACACCGGGAAGCCATAGTCTGCCTGATGGACGGGAAAGGAGCCAGTGGCCAAGTGTGCAGGTGCGCCCACTGCCTGCAGGACCTCCACTCCAGCGCAAACCTCGGAACGGCCCTTCACCCCCCGGCCAGGTCCGACGACTCCCAGGAGGAGCAGTTACCTCCGGAGACGCCGTCCACGTGGATGCGCGGTCCTTGACGGGACGTGATGACTCGCTCGCTCTTCCAAGTGCCAGCCCCGCGGATTCCTTCCAGCTCCTCCTCCAGGATGCCACGCAGCTGGGCCAGCGCTGACTGCGCGCGGCGGCCGCGGGGGCCCCCGGAGAGCGCCGCGTGAAGGACGCGGCCAGCCCACATCGCGCCCAACTCTCTGCCCCGGGCCCAGGCGCACGGTGGCCGCGGCTGGTGACGTGCAGGGGGCCGGGCCGCGGCAGCCAACCGGAGCGAGAGGGGGCGTGTTAAAGGGGCAGGGGAGGCGGGCCCAGGCACCGGTGGGCGGGGCCTGGTGGGATCCGCAGAGGACCAAAGTGGACTGATTTGTAAATTGAGACTGGAGCGGTCCTCGAGGCGGGGAGGGGAGGCGACGGGGCGGAGGAAGGTGCGCCTGGGCCCAAACCACCAGACCCCCATCTCAATCCCAACCCCTGCCTTTCTGAAGGGGGTGCCCTCTGGACCCCAGAGGCGGGAGCCTAGAAGCAGGCTGAGGCTAACCTCCAGCCCTGAGGTTTCCCGGGTCAGTCGAGCTCTTAGAACGCTCCCCCATTCTCACGTGCAAACGCCCCCAGATTCCCCCCACTGCTCGGCCGCCCAACTGCTCCGCATTCTCCTCCTCCAGTCTTGGAAGTAAGGAAAAATACACCGCTCAAGTTTTTTTCCTTTTTCAATTTTATTTTAAAGTTTTAAAATTACAAAGACAGCAAATTCTTCCCGGCACAAATAACACTTGTTAAAAAAAAAAGGGGGGGGGGGATGACGCGCAATTGCGCGTTTTCCTATTTTATTAAAAATAAGAGAAAGACGACTGTACAGGTTTTTTCTCCCAGCTCCCGGGTGTGAAACTAAGTACTAGTCCTAGATATGTATATATACATATACACACGTACACAGACCTAGCTCTGTAAAACTACTTAGCAATTCAAAGTCGACTGCGGTATGTCTTACTGTCCACTCCCCGCCCACTACCCCTCCCCCATCTACAACTACTTAAAAAAGACTCCGAAGTAAAGAGGTCGGAAGGTTTGTAAGTGGCAGGTGGCTGGGCCGGACCCCACCAGTCTGCCAAGCCACCTCCTATACAGGAAAAAGGAACAAAAAGCCAGGGAAAAAGAAAAAAAAATCCTCCTAAGATACAATCCAATTGTGTGGAAAAACCCAAGTTTCAACAGGGCACACTGAGGCACTTGGCTGACTGACTCCCCACCCTTCCCCAAAGTTTCCACTCCGTTCACCATGAGACTTCCCCCAATCACAAAGACCCCCCAATAGCTGGTTCCTAACTGACTGAGAAAAGCCACCGCTTCTCGGGCCAGCTGTCACTTCTACCCCCTCCCCTTCCTTAGGACAATAGGGAGGCCACAGGGGCAGACTAACAGAAGTGAGGAGACTGGATTTGGACCCCCCACTGCTCACCACTGGGAGGTGGAAGTCAGCCCAGAGAGAGATTTTTCCATCTCCCTCCTGTGCCACCCAGCGGCTGCCACTCCTCTCCTCTCCTCCCCATCAGGGTCCTGAAACTCACAAGGGGTGCTCAACTCAAAGCAAGCTCGCTGGCCTTAAAGATACTCCTACAAGCCTTAGGATTCCCAGGCTCCCTCTCATCTAGCCAGAACAAGTTGCTTTGCCCGTTCTCCTCCCACTTTTACCTTCCTAGCGACCAAACCATCCAACTAAACAAAACACACACGCCCCCAAATCCCTAACCCCACAAGTAGGTTAATAACAAATTAACAAAACAAAACATAAGTACATTCTCATCATGACACAGATGAGATCGGTTGTTGCTGTCCTTGCGTGACTGGTTAAGGAAAAATGAATTATTTCCTAATTTCTGAAGAGTCCAAATTGTCTCTTAAAAAGTCAGAACAGAAAGGGCCAAAGGGTTGCAGATGAGGATCAAGAGAGAAGGAGAACAGTATTTACAGAAAATAGGAGACAGGCAGGAGTGTCCAAAGAAAAGCCTCATTGTCACTTCTTCTTGCCGGCCCTCTTGGCACTGGACTTGGCTTTGGGCTTCACTGGTTTCGCCTTCTTGGGTTTGGAGGCCTTGACTGGCTTGGCTTTGACAGTCTTGGGTTTTTTGGTTTTCTTGGGCGTGGCAGCCGGCTTCTTCTTGGTCTTCTTGACTGGGGCAGCTTTGGGCTTCTTGCTTGGGGCTTTAGAGGCAGCCTTCTTCGGCTTGGCTACCTTCTTTGGCGTAGCCACCTTCTTGACTTCCTTCTTTGTCTTCTTGAAGGCCACTGACCTCTTGGGCTCGTCGCTCTTGGCCAGCCGGAAGGAGCCCGAGGCGCCCACCCCTTTGGTCTGCTTGAGGACTCCGGTAGTGACCAGGCGCTTGATGGACAGCTTGATCTGCGAGTCGGCGTTCTCACCCACCTTGTAGTGGCTCTTGATGTACTTCTGGATGGACTGGCGCGAGGAGCCAGCGCGGTTCTTCTCCGCCTGAATGGCAGCCACGATCATGTCTGAATACTTGGGGTGGTCCGTGGACTTCTTGGAGGCCTTGGCCCGCTTGGGCTTGGCCGCGGGGGTGGACGTGGAGTTCTCGGTCATGGTGGCCTGCCCACTCCTGCTGTGGAAGGTGCCTTCCGAAGGGCCAGCCCTCGTCGCAGGCCGAGGAAAGCCCGCCTCGGGATCTGCTCTCGCGCCCCTGACGCCCAGGCCAGCGCGCAGCGCGGCTCGCGGGGACCCGGCTCGGGTCGCGGGAGGACTCGCCGGGCCGGCGCTGCGTGGCCCAGCCCCGCCGCTCCGTCGGTGGCTCCCGGCGCCGGGCTCTGCCTCCGCCTCCGCCTCCTCTGCCTCCCTTTTCCCAGCTCCGCGTCTGGCGCTCGGGCGGCGCATCCGGGTATTTAGCGGCGGCGGGCGGACCGCGGTGAGGACAGGGCTGCTGGCTGCCTGCTCCCGGCCCGGAATGGCGCCTCGCCGCCGCCATCTGTGTTTCTTCCGCCCAGCAAATCCGACCTTTCGCCCCGGCCCGAGCCCTCCCGCTCCCCGCCGCCGCCCGGGGCCGCTGCCCGGCTCCCTGGGCTCCCCCGCCGGCCGCCTCGCCGGCCCGGCCGCCGCCCCCCGCGCCCGCCACGCGCCCCAAACGGCGCCGAGGACCGCCGGGGCGCCGGCACATTTCCCCTTTGCGGGGGGCTGGCTCTGCGGGGCCGGGGCGCCCCGGTGCGGGAAACCCCCCGTAGCAAAGCTGCCCCCTGGGGCTACCGGGGACCCCGCTCCCGGCCCGCGGCGGGGCCCCCCAGCCCGGCGGAGCGGCCCGAAAGCGGCCGCAACTAACACACGCCGCCCCGAGCCGGGCGACTCCCAGCCGGGCCGAGCCGGGACAGGGGGGAGGGGTCGCTCCCCCGGGGTCCGGTCACCTCTCGGGGGTCATCCCGCCACCCGGCCCCCCGCACCTCTACCCTCTCTCTGTCCATGGGGCCCCCAAGCAAACTTTCCCTGGAAGAGTTGGAAGGGCACTTTCAAACTTTGTCCCTTCCCCCTCCTCTGTCGTCTCTCCCCCAGCGCGCCCCCTGACCTCTGCATCCAGAGTCTCTCCTGAGGCCAATCCCCCAATGCTGCCTGGGTCCCCTGAGGGAACGAGGAGGGGTCTCTTGAGTCGCCTCCTCCCCTCAAAGACCCCCGCGTCTCCCATGTATCCTAACCGGGAATTCATTTCTATACCTCCCTCAGCCTAGGAGTGTTGGGGTGTCAGAGGCAGAGCTCGCTGCCCCCACCCCTGAGGCCCATCCTGGGGGTCCAGTCCGCCTCCCAAAGCCCCTTGAAAGCAGTTGGGGGTGGGGGGAGGCAGAGCGGGCGGTGGTCCACAATGGAGGAGCTGCCCTAAATGCTAAAACAAGAGACTGTCCTGGGGGCCCCTGGGATGAGGAGAGGCCCTGAGTGCTTTGGGAACTTGGGAAAACCGGGCTCTAGGGGAGCGGTCGGGGAGGGGGTAGTGTTCCTCGGGTCCTGACTAATCCTCGAAAGTGTGCAGTTGTTCAGGGAGCCGTGGCCGGGACCACCGCCATTTTGCTGGGAGGATGCGATGTCTTTGTTAAAATGTACACATCTTCTCCTGTGCTGCCTGGCAGGTATAGAAGAGGCAAACAAGGGGCGCCACCGTCTACACGGAGTCTTGGGGGCTCTGAAGGGCTTTTGGGGCCCAGAGGCCAGCGGAAGGGACTCCAGAGTTCCTGGGACCCCTTGTCTGCCACAGACATCCTACTCACGTGCAGGGTCCCTCTTGGCAGGGGCCCCAGATTCTGGGATGCTGGTTCCCTGGGCCCCCTCCCACAACAAACCTGCTCTGTTCCCTAAGAAAGAGGCTCGTCACTCTTCAATTAAACAATACCCTGGGAGTGGGGCTTTACAGCTGGTCAAAATGATGAACGACATCTCTGGTAGGGTCCGGGAGCTGTTTGCAGACACTGGCTGTTGGGGAGGGGAGGGGGGGAAAGATTGGAGGGTTTAGATGGGGGGACAGGTCGCAGCTCGGGGGTGTCTGGGGGAGGGCTCCTATTGGACTTGGAAGTCTCTGAGGCCAGGGAAATTAATGGGTTTCCCCCCTACACCAAGGGATGGATTAATCCAAATGATTGGGAGGGGGAAGGGGAGGCCTGAGACTCGGTATCTGCATCGGACGCCTTCTCCCTGGGCTTATCTTGGTGGCACAGGCGGGGAAGAGAAGCAACGAAGGGCTAGGTTAGTTCAAAAGGTCAAGGTTCTTATTTGGATGCTATCAACTACCCTGAAGTTTCCTGATTTGAAAACACAACATTCTGGTGGGCTTGTTTTGGTTATTTGCAAAGCCAATTCTTCTGGTTCCCATTAAGATCTGGATGGGGAAATAGGTGTTATTTGCACACCCCTAGGTCCAAGATATTATTCCACCTCTCCCCCAGACATGTCATCCCCCCAGGTCCGTGCGTGTCTTAGAATAAGGACTGGATGAATCCAATGGCACGATGATGAAATAATTTTATTTACACAGCGCATCACAGTTTACAAAGCGCTCTCCACCCGTTTCTTGATCCTTTGCGCCTCCAGCCTGGGGAGGCAGGTTACGTGATCACATCCCCCATCACCTCATTCGGAAGGATGGATATGGGGGCGCACTGTGAGGTTCAGCTCCCGGCGCCCCCGGGCCTTCACTTAATTTTGTAGCTCTCACATCCCGTAACCGCCCCCCCCCCCCCCCCCCAATCCTAGCGACCCGTAAATTTTCTCCTGGAGCTGAAGCCAGAAATGCAGGGAGGGGTCGCCTCAGGGTCGCGGGGGTTCCCGCCGGCCGACAATCCTGCTCCTGCGGGCGGCGAGCTTCACCGCCCCTCCCCCTGTTGGGGAGAATTGGAGGGGACCGGGAGGGGGTCCCGGGAGTCGGGCGCCCAGGCCGAGGCCGAGGGGGGCACGATGAGGGAGGGCTGCCTCCAGATTGGCTTGGCCTCCCCTCGCCTCGCCGACACTGCAGGGCCTGGGGTCTTCTGGACTCGGGCCGGACGCGCCCGGGCACCCCCGCAGGCAGCTCTCGGGTTCCCCCCCTAGCCCGAGCTCAGAGCAGTTTCCCGCCGGCAGACGGCGGAACTCCCCCCGCCCCTTTAACGCGAGCCCTTTAAAGACCCGGGAGCCGCAGGGCTGCGGGCAACTCCTCCTGGGAAATGTAGTCCCCGGCGCCCAGCCCCGCGCTGCGCCCGCCAGGACCCTCGCGACCCTCGAGCCGCTGGCCGCCCCGGGCGTGGGGAGGGGTCCGACCTCGGCTGTCCAGTCGCGCGAGGAGGCGCCGGGCCTCCCTGCTGTTTTCTCATCTGTCCAAAAGGGGCTCTTCCCACCTTTGGGGTCGCTGTGAGGGCGAAATGAAGTCCTGTATGGAAAAGTGTCAATGGCGTGAGAATACCAGCGCTCGTGTTTTCACGGATGCGCGCGCGTGCGTGTGCCAGCATTTATGAGCGCTTGACACACATCTCCATTTTTCAGACAGGAGCTCTAGAGAGGCTAAGAGCCTTGTCCAAGATGGGTCAACCTGAAGGAGGGTGACAGGCCGACAGACTCCCAAGCCAGTGACTTTCCCACTGCACCTCCTGTGGTCTCCAGAGACCTTGCAAGACACGCACTCATTCTGGACTTCGGAATGCTAAGATGTTCGCTTGATGTGTGTGTTGCACTGAGGTAGGCGCTGGGATCCAGCTGGAGCAAGACACAGGAGATCCCTGCCCTGTGGAGCTGACATTCTAGAGGAGAAGATAGATAAGCAACAGACTAAATAAAGTCAATTATATAGTATGTAGGGAAGCCATAATTGCAAAGACAAAACTGAGCAGGGGGAGGGGGAGGTAATAGGCAGTGCTGAGAGGAGCTGGTTTGCAGTTTTAAGTAGGGTGGTCAGAGAAGGCCTTTAAGAAGCTGACATGTGAGCAAAGATTTGCCATGGAGGCGAGGGAGGGGGCTATTATTCTTGGAGGAAGAATCCCCCAAGCAGCGGGAACAGCCAGTGCAAAGGCCCTGAGGCAGGAGTGTACAGGGCGGCTGAATCAAGGAAGACAGTAGGAGATGAGTTTTTAAAAGGTAAGCAAGGGGAGTAAAGGAGGCACAGGTCATGTAGGGTGTTGCGGGCCCTTTTGCTTTTACTCGGAGTGAGATGGGAGCCACTGGAGAATTTTGAGCAGAAGAGGGATGTGATGGGACCCACAGTCAACAGTTAGCCAGAGTTAACTCTAGCCACGCTGCGGAGAAGAGGTTGCAGAGGGCAAGGACAGAGCAGAGTCAGGAGGCGGTTGTGGTAATCCGGGTGAGAGATAATGGTAGTTTGGCCCAGGTGGCAGCAATGGAGGGGAAGGGGATTGGTCAGGTCCCAGGAGGACTCCAAGGATTTTTGGCTTGAACAATGGAAGAGGGAGCTGTCATTAACTGAGGCAGGGAAGACGAGGGTGGAGCAGGTTGGAGAGTTCTGGCCCGGTTAGGTTTGAGATGTCTCGCAGATGTGTGAGCGGAGATGCTAAGAAGGCAGGTAAACAGAAGAATCTGAGCCTGCAGTTCAGGGAGAGAGTTTGGGGCCTTAGATGCACCTTTGGGTGCTATCAGCAGAGAGCTGGTATTTGAAGACCTGAACTGGGCGTGATCAGAGGGCGTGAGGGCAGACAAGAAGAGGACAAAGGACTGAGCCTGGGGACACTGACAGGAGAAGGAGGGAGTGAAGAGGAGGCACCAGCAAAGGAGACCAAGAAGCAGCAGCCAGAGAGGCGGGAGGAAAACCCGGGAGGGGGCGTCCGCGAGGCCAGTGAGGAAGGAGGCGCGTCAGGTAGGGAGGGAGAGGCCAGTCCCTCCAGTGCCACTGGCCAGGACAGCGAAGGCCATCGTCTGTCCTTGAGGAAGAGGAAGACATTTGACCAGAGGATCCCCAGAGCCCTTCCAACTCTCTGGGACTCACAAGCAGGGCTCGGGATGGGGCACAGTTTCAGCCCCCAGCTTTTTTTTTTTTTAATTTTTTTTCCTTTTTCTCCTCAAAGCTCCCCGGTACATAGTTGTATATTCTTTGTTGTGGGTCCTTCTGATTGTGGCATGTGGGACGCTGCCTCAGCGTGGCTTGATGAGCAGTGCCACGTCCGTGCCCAGGATTCGAACCAACGAAACACTGGGCCGCCTGCAGCGGAGCGCGCGAACCCAACCACTTGGCCACAGGGCCAGCCCCAGCCCCTAGCTCTTAAACGTCTTTCCTTTAGGGACAAGAGGAAGTAAGAAAGTTGGCCAGCGGCCGGGGGCTGAAGGAAGACTTCCCAGAAGAGGAGAGGGGAGTGGGCTTTGAAGGATGGATAGAATTCCCACAGGCAATGGGGCGATGGTGTTCCACTCCGAGGGAACAGCAGGAGTAAAGGCACTGAGGA